TACATAGCATTCTAGAAATGAAAAAATAGTTTAAGGTTACCAACCTATCCTCCTTGTAATTTAGGAATTTCTTTTGTCTCCTGTTATTATTTTTTGCAAATGGCGTGACTCCTTCCATTGCAATAAACAACATTTTCTTTGGACGAACTATTCCCATCAATGTATCTATAAATTTAGACATTCCTTCAAACTTTTCTTCTTCGCTAATGGGCAGAGGCCTTAAAAACACAAGTTAGAAAATATTAACACAAAATCTTGATCTTTAAATGAGTTTACTGTGTCTGTTTAGTACAATGTTATACGCAAAGCTCTGCCAAAGGTAAACTATTTTCGAGCGCTCTAACAATTTGCAAAGCTGTACATGAAAAAAACATCATTAAATTTACATAGGTGAAAAATTATGCAAATTAATTGTCATTCTTCCCACGTGTATTTCGAAGTTGATCAGAAAAGTTCAAACTTAAATGGCTTCAGCATGAGCAACCTGCAATAATTAGTTTTGGTCATTTATTGACACAACACTTAGTAGAATCAATAATAATCTGTCATCAAAGGCAGTGTATGACAATGTCACTATGCATTTGTCGAACTGAACTGATTATCAACCATTTGGATTGATGCAACAAGGAATTAGACAATTGTAGTGTTAACAAATTGAATCCTCGTTGTAAGAGACATATATAGCAAGTGCAAATATAGCACTGAAACGCACTTGGTAGATTGTAAATATATTTACAGTCACAAACACTTACCCATTTTCTGAATGGCAGCAAATGTGTATTATATCATTCATATCCAGATATAAATTATCAAACCCATCACTCTGCTGCAATATAAATAAATAAATAAATAAATAAATAAATAAATAAATAAATAAATAAATAAATAAATAAATAAATAAATAAATAAATAAATAAATAAATAAATAAATAAATAAATAAGTAAACACTTCTTTGTACATTACAGTTATGCATATTAGGAAGTGTAATTTAATATGCAAAAGCAACTATGTATTTAGTTTCATTACAATTGGATGACTGGTACTCAAGATAATTGTGGAGTATCTATAAATTGTTAATTTATGCAAATTAGATATTAGCACATAAACTGAACATGTATAAGGCTTATCCCAAGCATCTAACCGCAAATACCTCCATTGACTCCCACATGGGAGTCCAAAATGTGGTGTATAACATGATGTATAACGAATATATAAAATTTGAATATAATCAGTCAAAGCATTCAAGAGACATGGCCCCAGAAGCCCAATCATTAAAACAAAATCGCCGCCAGTCAGCCATTTTTAATCCAATCTGAATAATAAAATGACGTGCATCAGGAACCTGTAATGTCTAATGTATGTTATAAATTTGAACAAAATTCATCCATAAATGCAAGAAATGTTTGATATTGGAGGATTTCATTAGCACAAAATAGCCACCATTTGACCACTTTGAAAAGAATCGTCAAACCAATATATCTGTCTATCTATGACATGATGTATAATGAATATTTAAAATTTGAACATAATCAGTCAAAAAAAGTCGGAGATATGGGTCTAGAAGCCCATTCATTAAAACAAAATGGCCGCCAGACAGTCATTTTGAATCCAATCTGAAAAGTAAATGATGTGCATCAGAAACGTGTAATGTCTAATATATGTTCCAAGTTTGAACGAAATCCATCCATAAATGCCAGAAACACTTGATATTTGATGATTTGTTAGCACAAAAATGGCCACCATTCCGCCATTTTGAATAGGATCGTCAAACCAATATATATGTCTATCTATGACATGATGTATAATGAATATTTAATGCTGTTAAGCTTGTCGCAAATATATTTGAAAACCAGATCATTCACTGATTTCGAACTTTGTATGTTCGTTTCGGTAGCATTCACACACATTCCATAATGACTCTCTACGCCAATCTGACGCACATGGCTCTAGTAGTTTGTTCGAAGCTTAAAACGTTTCGATGTCAATCGTCGGTCGACACGTATTTTACGTATATAATAAATAGTTTCGTGATTTATTTACTAAATAATGATAAATGGAACTTAAAAATATTGTAGCAATAAACTGGTCCTAAAATAGCGTGAATCTGCAATCAGTTGATGCAGCTAGTTCCTTGTTCATTCCATGCCTGATTTTATTGCTGAATTGGCTAAAAACAGTTAACCGAACTTCGAGTTACGGGAAATATGTAACGTTAACAAACTTTATTTTGCAGCAAAAAACAAATTTTACTAGATTTGTTTAACTATGATGGCGGTGATCTTAATGAAATCTTAATGGAATTAATCACTCTATTACATCATATTGGATTCGAAGAAGAGTCTAGATGCGCTAATACGTTGGCTTCGCTTCACACATTATCTTGCAATAGACCTATCTCCTCGTCCAATATGGCGCTGGGGTGTGTTTATTATTGTTTAAATAATTACTAGTATCTTAAAATAAGTTCTAGTAATATATAATTATATTTAATAATTGAATCCCACTTAATATGTCCTTTCTTTGATGTTTGTTGCAAAATTGGTATCCGGATATCAAAGGACTAGACAATTACGGCGTTCATTTCATTATGCAGTAAGCAAAAAGGGGACAGAAAATCCAGAACTTGTACATGTTATTCTATTTGTTCTATGTGATGTACATGTATATGGAATAATAGTGCCATTTTTTTTTTAAAGTTCAGACAATGTTCATAATTTTCATTTTTATTTAGTCAGATTTTACATTATCGAGCCGATTAGTTTGATATATCATTCTTGGTGACTTATAGTGTACACTTATAAACGCTAATTATACACAATTTTGATCTCAAAATGATGAATGTTAATACCCTTTTTCTTGTTCAGCACAAAAAGATGATTCTAAATTTGTTGGTCTGGAAAGAGTGTTGAGTGATGCAGGTAGGCCTTTCCAGCCATGCACTATTAGTCTCGCTGCCAAACCTCGTATCTGCTTGGCGATACAGGCTCGCGAAGGGCGCCACTCGCAGCGAAGCTTCGTGTAAACAAACACTGAACTGGACATAACGCAGCGACCACCGCTTTTTAAATATGTATAACTAATATCACATTAGTCATTGTAGACGTTGATACGTAACACCATGTTCATTGCAGGTAACTTACATGGCGGTATACAAGAGTGGTAGTAAAACCGAATCTAAATGTAAATACCCACCCACGTAACCTTACCAACCACGCCTATCGCTAGTACTGTATATATTTCTGGAATTGTGCCATAATTGAAAGTTACACTGACGGATCAAGAAAATTGGTAGGGGGCTCTCCCATTGACGTGGGCTAGGTTTGTCGATTGATTTGTCATTTTTGTGGGCTGAAGGGGGGCTGTGTGTGCGCATTTAAACAAAGACAATGATTTATTTACTCTTTGACATTTAGTCATTGCAAGACGTCATTTACATTTACTGGTGTGTTCTTCGTTATTAAACACAATCTATAAATTGATTCTCGTTCTATCATATTCACAACCAAATTTGACCACCATTGCCATGGTAGTCGTTTTTTCAGACACTCCCACGCAAGTAACGCCGCGTGGTGGTTGCAAATGTCAAGACTGCTCCTCCTTTTTATTTTCATTTGTGGGCACATACGCAGTAGATGAAGCTACTGATATTTTTTTTAATATCTACCACAGGGCAGCTGGCAAAAGCTTAAAAAAACGTAAAATTAAAAAAAAAAATACATAAAACATTATCCCAAATCGTACACAAATGACCTGATATGTCCGAGTCTTAAAATAGATTTACATAAAATGTCTACACAACTATCCATTAATCTATTCAACAAAGAGCTGAGAACTACCTGTTATTCCTTGAAACGTAAATATAAAAAAAAACTTGTTAAAAAAAGGACAGAGAAAATAAAAAGAACCTACTGAGTAAATTAGATAAAAGGAGTAATTCATGCCCTGGTGAATATTGGAACCTAATAAGTGAACTTAAAGGTAGACAAGACAATAATGATTGTGAATATGTTCCCGAAACAAAATAGCATGAACATTTTAAACTTCTCAGCAAAAATAATAATGATAATGAGGGAAAATTTAATTAAAGAATTAAATAATATGAATAACACACATTTCCCAATTAGAAATACAAACAGCAATTGGTTCTCTTAAAAACAAAAAGTCTCCAAGATATGAACGCATAACAAATGAAATGATAAAATCAGGCAGAAATACATTTATTAAAGCAATTCAAAGGCTATTTAATCTAATCTGGCCAATTTCCAAGTGCCTGGAATCTGGGAATTATCACCCCGGTCTTTAAAAAGGTGATAAATCTGAACCAGGAAACTACTGAGGCTCTGCTTAACTCTGAAAACAATATTCCAGTCAAAACATACCTAAAACTATTTGATAGTATGGTTAAATTTATCCTGATCTATTGCAGCGAAATTTGGATAAGTGACTGCGTACTACATATAAAAGATATTTTTGATAGTGGGCTACCTATTGAACAAATTCATAACAAATTTTGCAAATACATTTTACAGGTAAACTGTAAAGCCAGTAATTTGGCATGTATTTTAGAATTAGGTAGACACCCTATTTTACTGACTAGTATGGAACAAATGATAAAATATTGGCTAAAAATAAAAACAATGAATGAAAACACGCTAGTCCATAAAGCATACAGACTTGGCATAGAGATGGATGTAGACTGGCACAGTCTGGGCGATTTTTTTTTTTTTTATTTAAAATTAAATAAAAAAAATAGCGAAATGGAGGTGTTAACGCGAAATCCCCTTTAACCGCGAAATCACCCAGACTGGACATTTTTGCCGCGCCCTCTGAGGTGAAAGCAGGAACTAGTGTGTTTTCATACTAGTTTTTATGTTAATGACAGGCAAGAACGTTATCCAATCAGAGTAATTTGACCTTTAAACTATATCTAGTTAACCTTTGTACCTGAAGACTTCACTTTTCTGCAAGTTTCTCGATCGTCAATCATAACAAACGAATTACTATTTATAACGTTCTGTACAAATTAGTGTAATGGAGAGAAGTAGCCTGGGTTACAGTGAAGCGCGATCTGCACAGAAGACCCACAATGTTTACCTCATTATATATAATAACAATATATAATAATAATAATAACAACAAAAACAAAAAGAATAAGCTGCGCACATATAAACTGCTAAAGAAAAATTGCCAGTATGAAAATTATCTAACAACAGTAACAAATGCAAAACATAGAGCAGCATAAGCAAAATTGAGAATTAGCGCCCACAATTTAGAAATAGAGAAAGGACGATACAAACAAACTCTTTGCAGTGGTAGAAAGTGCACTGCTTGCGACCAAAATGAGATTGGAGACGAAATGCAAGCTGTATGAAAATGAGAGAACTGAAATGTTGAAGGAGATAAATTTAATACATTGCAACAACACAAATACCAATAAATTGATAACA